ATGGAACAGGGTAGGAAAGAGGAACGGAGAGCCCACTTCCACGTTGTACATGTGTGCTGATAACACCCCACGGTAAGGCCCGCCTTTATGTCACTGCAGAGTTACTCACAAAAAAATTTCCTGTTCTTTACAGTTACTCTCCAGTAGAGATCACAGGTAGTTAGGCATGCAAATATATGAGGCAGAGGGGCCCCCAACATACCTAAAGATAACCCAAGAAAGGTTCTAGAGCACAAGAAACCTGACTTTCTTTGCTTTTCTATTTTCTGTCCCTTCACCCTGATCACTCTGATAGTCTTTTTCTAATGCATATAAGCTGTGTGGGTGCGTGAACACAGTTTCAATACTTTATATGGTAGGATACAATTTATAAATGATTTTTGATTACTTATTTACTTGCGTTAGAAGAAATCATTGAGAGTTGCATATATACCTGGCATTTGTGTCAAGTGAACCATAACATGTAAAACTTATTAAATTTTTAAGCTTTTTGAGCAGTCTAGAAATACTATTAAACTAATTGGCAATTGTCTAAACATATGCCACATGTCAGACACTTTACCAGGCTACTTAATTTTTATAGCTTCATTTTTTAAAAGACTGTATACTTACGGCATCTTAGGTTGTCCAAGTCAACCTAAGTCAATTATACATTATATAGAATGTATAATTTTAAATTCAAAATGTCTTTTCTTTTGAAGTGTGAATACAATCATATAGAAGTGATGAAATTTTTATCATTCTTTAGCAACTTGAAATTAACATTTCAATATATTTTTTATAATTTACTATTTAAAACTGTTACTTAGTTTAAAAGGTGCTTTTTATGCCAGCTTTTTGCTTTAAGAAACTAATTTGGCCCAACTTATGTGCCATAGAAACAGATTTATAATGAAAAGATTGACACGTTTAAATGTAAATTGAGTTTAATCTCAGAAAAATTAAGATCATATTCTTCAACTATGATAGATTTGAAGGATAAATTAAAATAATCACCTCTAGATTTGAAGGATAAATTAAAATAATCATCTCGAAAAATTAACAGTTGGAATTTTAAGAGTATTATTCCTCCTAAGATGTTTCATTTTTGGTATTTCTAGATTTGATGAGATATGATTAACTGGAGATTTTAACTCTTGTCTAAATGATTAAGCCCACTTCAGGTATGCATTTCAAAATGTAAATACACCTGGTTGTCATAGGCTCTAGATTAAGGTAACAGTAAAATTATATTGTGCAAGGAAAAAAGCTATAGAAAAGAACTAATATTTTAAATCAATTTTTTCTAACACTTGTAAGCTGTTCATGTAAACTAAGTATTTTTATATTTATTCCCATCAAAATACTCTGGGTGATTTCCAGTGTGCAACATTAAAGTCTATGTGCAGAAACTCTCCTAACTGTATAGTGATTAAAGATAAAGAAACACTTGTAAGCTGTTCATGTAAACTAAGTATTTTTATATTTGTTCCCATCAAAATACTCTGGGTGATTTCCAATGTGCAACATTAAAGTCTATGTGCAGAAACTCTCCTAACTGTATAGTGATTAAAGATAAAGAAAATGTAACAGATTAAAAAAACAAAACAAAAACAAAAAAACACACCAAAAAACAGTCTTTCAGTTAATTCTTTGTTATTATGGCTAAGATTGTGAAGCCACAGGCTAGTTACTGTTTCAGCTTTTGTGTTTAATTGGTGCCTATGAAATGTGCCTATCATTTATTATATATGTATTAAGTAAATACTATATCAAATAGAATTATAAATGCTACTGATTTTTCATGTGTTTTACATTTTCTTTAATCAAGTCCCGATTATGAGACACTTATTTTACTGAGTACATTATATATTCTTTGATTTAGAAAAATTCTACCTCCATACAAACTATCTGGTGCATAACCATAACACGTGTCTTGAATGTAGCCGTGACCCAACAGGAAGGCAGCTTTGTGTGTCAGAATACCCCCTTTAGTACAACCTTACAGTTACTTGAGTTTCCTTCCTGCCTACCAAACTTGGACTAAACCACGAAGTCACCCAACTGTACCTTTACTGCGCCATTCTCATGTATGGTGATGCAGTTATCGACATCTTCTGAGAGATGGTACAAGGCCTGAGCTGTCGCTCGATGCACGTTGGTGTCAGTCGATCTCAGGTAACGCACTAATGGAGCCACTGCTTTGTGCTCACCGAAGGCCTCTCTGTTTCTGCCCCACATACAGCAACGTGAAATAGCTTCAGCCAGATGACGCCTCAATTTATCATTATTCTGCATAATGGAAAATGTGGTACATGCACTGTAATAACCCTGTGAGATCATGTTTATGCATTTTACATTATTGCCTACTAAGATGCCAATAAGTCTAGAGAGAAGGGCTAGGTGGCTACTTAGGTGGTGCCATGAAGGGACTAGTATTGTGGTGGGTCACCAATAGACCAAGGTTCAATCCTGAATTTTCTTTTTGTGAACTGAATGTAGTCAGTGCACTCAAAGATGACCAGGTGTCTCATGTTAGTCATTTGCTCAAGGTTCAATTTCCTTTTAAGTCTACTAATAGCATAAAATTACAGATCAGCAAGTTGTTTAGTGTTAAAGATATTTTAAGAATATTGGATGTTCTTAAAGGAACATTTAACTGGGATAAGTGGATTAACTCTGCTTTTTCACCATAGGAATCCTTGTGCATGAGTAATACATCTTGGCTCTCAAGAGGCAGAAGACAGAGCAGAAAATATAATGGCAAGTTCTGGGCCTTCCATTTTCCTTTCTGTATTCTTCATGCAGACTCTATCCTCCTTTTTGTACGTGATTACCTCATAGAGGTGTAATATTAACTGAAAGGATTTAGTTTTCTGT